GGCACATAACAACAACAACAACAACAACAACAACTTTTCAGTAATAGCTGAGCACCCACCAAGGCTCTTTGCACAGGAATATAAATCTTTTCTACCTACCTTTATGACATCACTCAAAAAGAATGAAAATAGAGTTACAACAAAACCAAACTAATGATGATGCTGGTACACGCTGGCAGGGGCTCAGGATTAGCACCTCACACACCCCTTCACTGTTCTGGCCTGCAATGGCTATAGGCTGTCGGTGACCTCCAGTCACCCAGACATCCACACTGTTGATCACGGGGGACAGGTTCACACTGAGGAACTAAACTGGATGAAGAAGCAGTCTACCAAATCCAGAGGATCTACCAACACCCAGGACTCTTTTCTTGGACCTTGAGTAGTCAGTCAGTCATGCACCACAAGGCAAGGAGAAACCAGAGAACCACTATGTCTGGTCTTGAGATCTAGCCCCTTAAAAGAGAAAATTAAAAAAAATAAATAAATAAAATAAAATTCCTACAAAAGGGCAGCGGTTGACCCACAAGCCTTACAATGTATGGAGATACCTAGCCTAACTTTCCTTTAGCATCATGTGATGCAATTTTCAACTGTACAACACATTCCTTTCCTATGTATAAAAACTATAGGGAAATGCCCGTTTATCCTAAAGAAATTGAAGGAAAGAATTAAGCAGGAATGAATACTGAAATAATGCTAACTGCTGGCATTTTCAAAATAATTCACAGAAAACTAGGCGGCATACTGTTAAGAGATTTCATGGTCCAAATAAGTGAGCTTAACAGTAAAGCAATTTGGAAAAAAATAGCCATCAGCATCAGAACGGGTACTGTGGACAAGTGGCTTTTTTATATCAAACTTATTTTTAAGAATTTCAAATACAGAAAAAGTAAAACAAGATAATGAACATATAATTAATAACTGTACATACTTGATAGATTCATTAATGTTTTTAATTTTTTTATTTTATTATGGGAGGGGGGAAAAAATAAAAGTATTTGCAACAGCAATCATTTTTATGTGTACAATTCAATGATATTACCTGACCCACCAATTTGTATAATCGCCACCACAATCCAATTCCAAATATTTCCATCATCCTTAACAGAAAATCAGTATCTTTGAAGTAATAACTCCCCATTTCTCATTCTGTCACAGTTGGAAATCACTAATACACTTTGGTATTCTATTTCATATATGTGAGATCATATAATTATTTGTCAATTTTTATCTGGCTCATTTCACTTAGGAGACCTTTTGTGATTTTAGTGAAAGTTTATAGAAAGGTTAGGCTTACCTTCATTCATTGTTACATGCTTTCTCCCCTCCCTCCCCTCACCGTCCCATCACTCATGGTATTTTTGAAGTTCAGCCACATCATAACATGTATCCTTTCTTTGGCTTCATCCTAGTGGATATCTATACCACATTTTGTTTATCCACTCATCTGCCAATTGTTTCTAACTTTTAGCTATAATATAAATAAGGTTGCAGTGAAAATTGATGCACTAATATCTGTTTGGGTCCCTGCTGTCAAGTCCTCTGGGAATATATCTAGGAGTAGAGTTACTGAGTCATGTATGTGCTAGTTCTGTGTAACTTTTCAAGGAACAGCCAAATAATTTTTTTTTCCAAAATAATTTTACAATTCTTAACATTCTGCTAGTCTTTCTCTGTTTCCAAATAAAAACTTTTTTTTCTGAACCACATGAAAATGACATCTTAAATGCTTCAGCAAACATTTTCCTAACATCAGTCATGTAAAACACTGCCAATAATTCCACACCATCTATTATCCAATCAATATATATATTTCCCAGTTATTAAAAAAAGTAATTTACAGAAATTTATTTCCCAATCTATCATACTTATCAAGGAACTTTTGGTTGTGCTTTTACTATTTTTTGAGTGGAAACAATCTCTACTTGTTCAGCTTCTGATATTAACTTTTTTTGAGGCACCCAGGGTGGTTAGTTTTAGAATGTCCAATATTCTGGAATTGTTTGGTTGCTCATGTCAATCTCTTATTTTTGTCTTGAGAAGAACTGTTTGACGCCTTTAGTGCGTGGACTGGGTAGGCTCCAGTGCCATTTGGACATGCAGAGGTGACATGTGTAGGGCATTTGCTCAGAAGAAGACCACAAATTGTGTGCCCCTTGTCACAACTGTCACCATAAACCCAGATTTCTCTTGGGTGTGGTATAAACAGAGAAGCCATTCTTCAGTCCCCCTGCTCTGTGCACACCCCAGTGCTAATCAATTTTAACAAAATTATTTCACCTAATGATTTTAGTATCCATTAATGACCTTTGCTTGAACCACTTATTATGTGGAGGTTAAAAAAACAAAGAGTTTCTATCTTTCTTTTTAATCTGCAGACAATTTAGTGTAAAAAAAAAGCCTATAGTTTTATTACATTAAAGGCTTATAGGTTATTTGTTTCTAAATATTAGGATTTACTGCTGACTTTTTTTTTTTAATGCCCTAATGAAATAAAATTTGGTCAAAAAGAGCCCTTCAAGACATTTTCTATGTCCTTTTCCTACATAGAGAATTTGTGGCTTTCTGGAACAAGTTGTTCTTGGTTTACCTTATGTGCTGTCACTAACCCTGGACTCAGCCATTTCTCCGAGAAGCCCTAGTTTTCACTGGATAACTGTGTTTAGTTTACAAGATGTAGGCACTAGGTAAGATCATTGTTACGGAGCTGTCATTGTTTCTACACATGTTCATTAAAAATTCAAAGATAATTTCTAAAAAAAATTTTTTTTAATTTATTTATTTTTTTTATGTGTGTACGGTCAAATTGAATCTGACTGGTACAGGAGGCGATTGTTCCTCCTTCTTCAGCAGAGCATCTGGTGGATTTGAACCACGCACCTCTGGGACTGCAGTGCAGTTTCCTGCCACTAGGCCACCAGAGCTCGCCATCAAAGATAATTTTAAATCATATTTAATGTCATAGTGTTTTTTCCTTTTCTTTATTGAGGTTTGTTTGTGGGTTTGTTGGTTTTTTGTTTGTTTGTTTTTTATATTTTCTCTCATACTCAAACACTCAATCTCCTTGCTGTTGAGCTGGAATCAACTCATAGTTGACCCTCTAGTGGGTTTTTGGAGGCTGTGAATTGCCCAAGAGAAGACTACTCATCTTTCGTTGGTGGAACTGCTAGCAGATTTGAATCACCAGAGATTGACCACTTTTGGGTTAGCAGCACAACTCTCTAAAAACTATGCTAATAGAGCTCCTTTTCTCTTACAGTTAAGATTTTAAAGCTTAATAACAGGAATATGTTTATTTGCTTTACACTAGAATATATACAATACCATTTCAGAATTATATTTTACTCTTATCACTAAGCCTACTAAGTAAATTTCAAGTGTCCTTATACTTTTTGTTCCTTTGTTTTGTGAAACTTTCTATCCAACTAAGAATGCAGTCAGAATGCCATGCTCTAAAAATGTTTGAAAATAAGTACTAAAAGTCAACGCACAAAAGTCACATACTGTAAAATCCTCAGTACAAGTAATTCCATAGCAGAATGGTGGTTGCAAGGGTCAAGGAGGATACAATGGAGATTGATGGCTTAATAGCTACAAGGTTTCACTGTGATGTAACCAAAGGTTTTGGATTGAGATAGTGGTGGTAGTTATACAGCAATGTGGATGTAATAAATGCCACCCACTAAAATGTCCACTTTAAAATAACTCATTTTTGTTAAGTGAATTTCACCTCATTTTCAAAAGTTATTTGATTTCATTCTTTCCTCAGTATTCTATTAGTAATTTGATGTTACTTTGTTTCTGATTTATTCCAGTTTAAAGTTTGCATAAATCATTTCTATTGTTCTAAAGTCAAAGCTTTATAAAAAGTTATAATCAAAAGTTTTGTGTCCATCCTTTATTTACCTTGTTCCAACCTATCACATTTTTATCCATTTTCCGTAGTTTCTGGCTTATTTCTCATTCTTTCCTAAAGAACATGTAAAATATTGTATATGTATTTTTAGGAGAAAACTAGAACACTGCTTCCTGGAAACCTTGCCTTTGTCTACAAACAAAATGCCTGACCACTTTAAATCTGTTAACACTTTGTGATTCTCCCCAAACAGGAATGGATTGCAGGCACTGTTTCAAATCATCTTCCACACACCAGTCTGTCTCCTAGGATGCTGACAGAAGTTTTTCATCACTGCCTAAGTTCTGATAAGACTGTCAGCCACACCCCTTTCACAACTGTCTGATAACATCATGATAGATGGAGAAAAGATGGAAATTGTTGTTGTGTATCAATGAGTAGGAATCAACTTGTAGCTGACCTTGCAGCAGGCTTATAGAGGCAACACAAGAGAATGGGAATCCCAGAACACTTAATTATGCTCATGTGAAACCTACACCTATACAAGAAGCTATTCTCCAAACAGAGCAGGGGAACACAGCATGGCTTAAAATCAGGAAGAATTGTGTAGCCGAACAAATTATTCAAGACACTGGGCTTTATGAAGAAGAATGTGGCATCAAGGAGAGTCATCAACAACCCTCGCTATGCAGATGACAGAACTTTGTTTGCTGAAAGCAAAGAGGCCCTGAAATGCTTGCTGCAGAAGATCAAAGACTTTAATATGAAATACATCTCGACATCAAGGGAAAAAAATCCTCACCACTGTGCATGTAAGTAACATCATGATAGATGGAGAAAAGATGGAAATTGTCAACAATTTCATCTTACTTGGATCCCCGATCAATGTCCTTGGTAGTCAAGAAATCAAATGACAGATTGCACTCTCTAAGTCTGCTGACAATGGTCTCTCCAGAATCCTAAGGAGCAACAATGTCAGCTTAAAATCACAAGCTATGTACCTGAGAGCGAGAGCTGGCCAATGAATAAGGATGACAGACAAATTGATGCTTTTGAGTTATGGTGTTGAAAAAGAGTACTTGATACCCTTTGGACTGCAAAAAAACCAGAGGTATGTCTTGGAGAAGGTGTAATCACACTGTTCCTTAGAGATAATGACGGTAAAATTCTGTTTCACATAGTTTGGGTATGTTATTAAGAGTGTCTATCTAGTCATTGAAAAAAAGACAATGCTTGCAATGGTGAAGGGTCAGAGAAACAGCTGAAGATCCTTAATAAGACAGGCTGACACAGTAACAAAGGACTCCAATATGAGAGATGATGAGGATGGTAGGGTTCAAATCTGTCATTCATAAGATCGCTACGAGTCACTGTCAACTCTTCAGCACCTAACAATGACAACTAAATCACAAGAGAGGAGAATGTCCCTTTTTCTCCCTCGGGACAGCTGGTGGTCTTGAACTATGTGCCAATGGGATGGCAGTGCAACTCCTTACCACCAGAGTGCCCCTCTTCTCCTTGCACAGGGGCCATGCAAATCTCTGTATCATTCCAATTTTAGCATATGTGCTGCTGAAGCAAGCACAAAAGTGCCCATCTTCTCCTAATAACGAATATAAAATCACTTAGTTCCTATCCTGAATTGGTTCCTCAGCAGGAAGATAACTCACTGTTCACATCACAACAGTCTGGCCCCTCTTTTTTGCCCCAACAGGTCATCTTCGGTGTAAGACAAGGACCCAGGGAGTAGGCACCTTCTCTAACAGTGACTCACTTCACAGGTTGGATAAACCAGGCCTTGGCCTTCCCTTGCCTTGTATGCTTAATAACTTGCCTATTTCACTTACTAAAGTACATTAACACCACTGCCGATGTTAGTGATCTTACTCATTTTCTTCACAGCTGTATTCTACATTTGTGTACCATAGTATACTCAACTAGTCTCAGACAGAAAGATATTTAGGTTCTTCCAAACAGTGTTCCTTTAGGACTTTGGACTATTGCTTCAAGGATCTCAAAACATCATTGCTGTTGAATTTGACTGACTCAAAGCTGACCCTCCAGCAGTTTACCAAGGCTATAAATCACATAGAGGGAGACGGCACATCTTTCTTCCCTGGAGTAACTTGCGGATTTAAATTGTCAGAAAGATGCAGCCTTTGATATAAAGCGTAACTCTGCCACCAGAGCTGCCAAGATCAGCACTGTGGAAACGATTAAATGTTCACTACGACCTATCTGATTTTCTCTTAAATCCATCACTTACCCATTTTCCTTGGTCTAGAATTTTCTGAGACAAGCAGGAAGCAGCTGCTGCTACCTGAGAAGGGTGATAATGCACCATGTCGTAGTCAATGAGAGTCAGCTCCATCAAATATTTGGCCAAAGTGTGCTGTTCAACATCAACCTAAGAAAGAATAGCCAGTAAGGATTACAATTATTATCACTCTCTTGCAAAATCCCAGATGAAGGTCTAAAAACTCAAATCCATTGCATATCTCTCTCTCAAAAGAACTGCCTTATTTATTGCACAGTGTACTACTACATGGAGTGTGAAGTGTTTTCTCTTTAGGAGTGATGAGATAAGCATTAAGACTTATCTAAAGAATCTGTTCTAAGTTCATAAGCTTTTCTTTCATTAAGAATATGCAGGTTAATGTTTCTGGGAAAAGACATGAAACTACAAAATTAAGTGTCCCTTCAGGGTGGAAGCACTTACCTCCCCAGCTTTCGATGCTCGTCTTAAGAAGTGTAGGGGCAAGGGTCGACCCAACTCAAACTTCAATTCTTTCAAAATTACAGTTTCCATTTCTCGGATTTGAAAACTGGTATAAGCATTGTCTGTGATATAAACGAAGTCTTCAATATTTGGAGAAAACATTTCCTCATACTTGGAAGCCAACAGCAGAGCTGTAATCCCAACCAGCTGAAGCTTCTTACGAGACACTGGCTGAATCTAATTGAAGTAAAATCATGTCAAAAGTCATACTGGACAGAGGGGTGGTTCCCATACGAGAAACAAATCCTAGAGAACTGTTTACTATCATTACTCATGGCTCTCTTGAAGGCATGAAACTTGACTATTAAATAAGTATTATCCTGGCATCTGTCTTTGATTGAGTACTGTGTAACTGGCACAGTGCTAAGACTCTAACACATTCTCTTATCAAATCTTCAGAAGAATCCTAGGAGGTATATACTTATATTCTTATCTACCAACAGAAACCAGAGGAAGTTACTGAATTAAGAGGACAAGGTATAATTTCAAGCCTGACAATGATGCTCCCGGTCACTGCTGCTCCCTCACTGTCCTGGGCTGAGTGCCTGTGGTAGTCCCAATTAGCACTGAAATTGTTCTGAGTACAAACAAGGACCAACAAAAACAAATATCCAACTAGGAATCTCATGGATGTCTAGGAACAGAGAAGGGGTGGTTCAAACTTTTCCTTTAATGTACAAAAGTACATTCATTCAATTAGAAGAATCATCCAACAACACTTCAATGTATATTTTAGACTAAGTATTTCCTTTATTATTATTTTTACCTAGAGATTTGCTATTCTTACTTTAACTCTAATTACTGAAAATTTTCCTAAAAATTCTCCTAAAATGGCTTTCCTGTCCAATGAAGATTACACACTGAAAACTACTGAACCTATGAATACATAGGATTCTTTAGTATCCCAGCATCATTATTAGAAACACCTATTAATGTATTGTTTGGGCAGAATTTGTATTTAACCTAAACATACATCATAAATGTTGCTGTAAAAGAAATCAGTCTTTACAACAGGGATGTCTGGTGGCTCATGCACAAATCATTTATGATCACATTCTTTCTCTGACTGGTCAGGACCTAGGTCCTCTCAGCTTCTTTTCTCACATTTTTTTTATGTCACATGTTCTAAGCTCACTATATGTACTCTTTTTTTTTAAAAAGTGTCTCCAGCTTACTCTTCTACTTACTTAGTGCTAGCACTGGCTGGAATATTTGTGGTTCTCTAGTTGCATTCCTCATTTTAATTGAAAGAACTTAAGCAAAGAATAATAAACTCTAGAAGCTATGCAAGTATGTCTGACTTTTAGACCTTCTGACAGAATACTGCCTTTGATGAATGATGTGGCAATGTGTTAATACCCCCTTGCACTTTTTAGCTGGTTGAGCTGACAAAAACCTAGGGCTAATCTGCCTCATCAAAGTAAAAGCTTGACATGCTTGTTTTTCCCTCCTCTCGTTAGCACCTGAAGTTCTTGGGCTTTGCATAAAATGACTTTGGGCCTTTCCCTCAAATGTACTGTAGCTTAGCTTTCAATCCCCAAAGCATAAAAGCTGTTTGATGAGTTGCTGCTGTGAAATTTCTAAGCCTTATTTACCTGTAAAAAGCGGTCCATAATGGCGATACACATATACAATGTTTCCTGTAGAAGCCTGAACTTGGAGTGGACTTGAACCAGCCAGTCCACCAGGATGGCACGCATGCGTCCATTGATATCACTTCCATCTAAAAAGTGTGGTCTTATGGACTGCAGAACCTGTTGGTGGAATTAAAATTTTAAAAAGCTGACCTTATTCTCTTTCCTGCAGTGTAGTTAGCTCCATTTTGCTTATACAACCATGATACAAGATCCACTCACCTCAAGCTGCCTTAGATATTGATAGATGTCCTTGACATAGTCACTGCAAAGCTGAGGGTTCTCCCCATCTTCATTATCAATATCCTCAATTTTGCAAAGCAAGGTATCAGAGAAAGCTTGGCATAGATTCTCTTCTCTTGTGGAGATATCCTCAGGTTGAGAAGATGGACCCTATACCAACAAATTAAAGCACATGTATTCCTACTACTTTAGGGTCCCCGGTAGCTCGCTGTGATCGTATAGTGGTTAGTACTCTGCGTTGTGGCCGCAGCAACCTCGGTTCGAATCCGAGTCACGGCATTGTGGGAACAATGGCACGGCAAGGGGTCCAGATTTTAGATACAGTCTTAATGATATATAAGTATGGAGCCAACTAGCTTAAAGATCAGTATCATATGTTGCCATTGATTAACCAGTGTCCTTCTCTAAATTTATGTATGTAATGATCTCTCACAATCTGATAAACTAAATAGAATTAAGGGTAGAATGCAACATCTCCTAATCCCATTTTTATCTGAATTTACTCTAAGACTAACAATTTAAATCTACATTAAAACATCAGGGTTAGGTTCCAGTGCAAAAAAAAAAAGGTAAAACAAAACAAAAACAACTTAAGAAACAGTAACTGGAAACAAGGTCTTCTCCCTGAGCTAGTCTTAAACTGACAGAAGGCCAAGTGAGTAAAAGGTATTTAAAAATTTGAGAGCCTCAAAAGGCTAGAATTAATGAGAAGAGCTGCATGGAACACTAGAAAGAAATCTAATTAAGGTCTCAGAGGGAAAGACTTGAAGGAAGCACAAACGGCCACAGCAAAGCCTGTGCAGAGAACCAGGGAAGCAAGGAAATGAACACAGTTTGAAGAACTGCCATTAGTTTGATTTGGCGAAAACACAGCATGTGAGGTGTGAGAAGAGTGCTGGAAAAGTGACCAAAAATCTCACTCAAGAGCTTAGATTTTATTCAAAGGTAAAGTGAAACCAATGAACAAAGTCAATAAGTATGAATGGAAACAGACGTGCATTTTAATATGCTGATGGAATTTCAGCTTAAAGATTACCTTTTCCCAGAAAACCCACCTATTAAAGGGAAGTCACTACTAGAAATCCTGGTTTAAAGGGTCAAAGATTACTGACCCACTTCTCAAAAAGCTCCTTTCGGTGTTCTAATCACAACTGAACCAAAATTTAGCCATTTCCAAAAGCCTCCAGGATGAGAAAAGAATTCTTCCTCTGACTCTTATAATTTATTGAAAGAAATTCTTTTTGGATTTTAAACAAATTATGAATTATCCTTATACTCTCTCTGACATTCCATTCATCTGTTCAGGCAGATGCCAGAGCCCAACTGGTTAATGATATTCTATCCAGTGTCTGATACATACAAGGTTAAAAAACTGTAGTAGCTAAATAACTATGATAATTTATTTTTTCAAATTGTGGTGTAATGACAAGTAGTAATATATACCATCTCAATAATTTCTGCATGCACAATACACTGTTGTAAACTTTTGAGAGATAAAAGTGGTCTGATGCAGAAAGACCTTTCACAGAGGGAAATATTCAGATGGTCAACAGACACATGTAGAAATGCTCAAAAATCACTGGCAATATGAAAAGTGCAAATCAAAACCACAATGAAATACTATCTCACTCCAGTAGCAGTGGCAAAATTTAACAGGACAGCAAGAAATAAATGTTGGAGAGGATGTGGAGAGATAAACTTTTTTTTTGTTAATATGGCATGCTTCATGAACTTGTGTGTCATCCTTGCGCAAGAGACACGCTAATCATCTCTGTATCATTCCAACTTTAATATGTGCTGCCAAAGTGAACATATACTGGTGGTGGGACTGTAAAATGATACAACCACTCTGGAAGGCAGTTTGGCATTTCCTCATAAAGCTGAACATAGAAATTCCATATAAACCAGCTAGTCCACTTTAGGAATATGCCCTCAGAAAATTAGAAATGAGACACAAATGAAGATTTGTACACCAGTGTTCACAGCAGCATTATTTACCATCGCAAGAACATGGAAACAGCCCAAATGTCCAACCATAACCAAATGGATTGAGAAACTGGTACATTCACATGATGGGAATACTATACAGCATGCAGCAGCAAATGATTTTGAAAACTACTATAAAACTTGGGAGGGACTAGAGAGCACTTTGCTAAGTGAACTAACTCAGTCGCATAATGACAAATACCATAACAAACCATTATTGTAGAAATAGAAATATAACTAGTAAAACACGTATGAGGATCCAAGAGGCAAATGGTGGGAGCAGAAGGGTGAGGATGGGCCTGGTGAGGCTGAGTGGGGTGGTTAATCATAGGGTGGTATAATTTGACAGGTGGAGGGAGGGGTGGTAAAGGAAATGGGAAAGATTTGGTGTGGAAAAAAATGTATACGAACTTTCTAAGCAAACCAATATAAGAATTTCTTTAAAAAACACCTACTTGCTGACAACTAAAATAAAAAGTAGTCTGAGAATGAAATTCTTCAAATTAAATTAGCAAATGATCAACATGGGTGGTTGTTATGTCCTGTCCAGTCAAATCAGACTCAACATATAGAGTCATAGCTGACCCTCCAGTGGCTTTTTCACAGGCTACATGGGAGAAGAATTCTCTTGTGGACCAGCTGATGGATATAAGTTGGCCTGCCTTTGGACTGGAAGTGCAACTCCATATTCCATAGGTGATCAGAGTCCCCCAAGGATTATCAGAGACAATTAAAAAGTTGGTACAAAAACAATGAGGATGTGAAATTTTGCCTAATTTGAGAACCTCTTGTTTGCTGAGGAGTTGATGGAGAATGAGTAAAAGTTACTGAAGTTCTAGTACAAATATTTACAGACTAAGCTGGGGGCACTGAGAGAAGAATCTGTAAAGTGATGATATGCAAACACACAGGCAGTAACAAACTTTTATAAAAATGCGGGCTTCACAGGGGAGGGGGTAAAGAAAAAAGTGCAACAATGAATGAATGAAAATCCAAAATCTCTGTAAATGTTAATTAAAATTAATAAAATAAAATTTTTAAAAAGGCAGGCTTCTTTTATTTACTAAATTTGTAATACAGTACCAATAAAGTGCAACAGGAGAGTTGTTGTTGTTATGTGCCATCGAGTCATTTGCGACTCATAGCGACCCGATGTACAAGAGCCTTAAATGCCATTCTATCCTGTGCCAATCTCGTTGTCTCAAACACATTCATTCCCACCACTCCACTCACAGAATCGATCCATCTCACCAAAGGTCTTCCTCTCCTTCGCCTCCCCTCCACTCTCCCAAACATGATGTCCCTCTCCAAGGAGCAGTCCCTCCTTGCAACATGCCCAAAGTATGTCAGACGAAGCCTCAGAATCCTTGACTCCAGGGAACATTCTGGCTTCACCCTCTCCCGGACAAACCTGTTTATTCTCCTAGCAGTCCATGGTATATTCAACATTCTTCTCCAGCACCACAACTCAAAGGCATCAATCCTCTTTCTATAATTCCTACTCACTGTCCAACTCTCCGATGCATAACACGTAACTGCAAAGACTATAGCCTGGATCAGGCACGCCTTAGTCTCCAGCCTGATGTTGTTGCACTTCAGTACTCTTGAGAGGTCCCTCACAGCCGACTTTCCTAATGCAATTCATTCTCCTGATTTCCTGGGCTGCTGTTACCAAGAGTGTTGACTGTGGAGCCAAGCAAACTAAAACTGTTAACTATCTCAATCTCTTCACCATCCATACTGATGCTGCCCAGTGGTGAGAACCTTTGTTTTCTTGATACTGAGCTTCAATCCATATTGTAGGCTGCAGTCCTTGACCTTCTGCAGCAGGCGCTTCAGGTCCTCCTCAGTTTCAGCAAGCAGGGTTGTATCATCTGCATAACGCAGGTTGTTGAGATTCTTCCACCAATCCTGATGCCACATTCCTCCTCATACAGCCCAGCGTCTCGGATGATCTGTTTTGCATACAGATTGAAAAGGTATGGAGACAAAATACATGGGCCCCTTTCTTGATTTTGAACCATCCAGTGTCTCCCTGCTCTGTTCTGATGACTGCCTCTTGAAAAAATTGGATTCCAAGAGATTCATAATTTGCCTAATTAAGTAAAGACACAGGGATATAATTTTTTTTTTTTACTTTATTACTTTAAATGAAAGTTTACAGAGACTTAGGATTTCTAGTCATTCATTGTTGCACTTTCCTCCCTGTTCACCCCCTCTCACATAGATACAATATTGCTGCATTTGATCTGGCTCCATTTCATGACGACTGATGTACAACAGAAAAAAGACAATGATAGATACGATACAGAGGCACACACAAAACCTAGAAAGAGAAAACAAGTTCCCTGATAATAACAAAAGACTGCAGTCAAGTCTATTCCAACTCACAATGACACTTTAACTAAGACGAAGCAGAACCAGCACATAGGGTTTCCAAGGCTGTAAATTTTTATGGTAGCAAACTGCCACACAGTTTCTCTCCCAAGGTGCAGCTAGGGCGTTCAAACTGCTGAGTATTTTAAGCACTGGCTGTTACAGAATTAGCCTTTGAAAAGTTGTAGCTGACCCTCCACTGAGGTTCTGTAAATCACATGGGAGGAGACTGTCCGCCTTTCTCTCCAGAAGTAATTGGTGGAGCTGAATTGCCACAGAGGTGAGGCCTTTGACTCAGCAGCACAAACCATCCCTACAGACTACACCATCAGAGCTTCCTTAATCAGCCTTAAAGAGTGCAATTTTGGAGGTAAGAAAATAGTAAAAATGAACTGATTTTATTTTGTGTACCTCCTATACTTTTGTATTGCTTGATTTTTTTTAATGACTATGTATTTATTTCTCGCATAATTAAAAATAATTTTTTAAAAAAACATGAATTGCTGTGCTTATTTCCCTGTTATACACTAAGAAAAGATGGGCTATAAAAGATCGCTATACAGCAAAAGATGATCATGGATAGGAAGATTCAATATTGTGAAAATGACAATACTACCAAAGGCAATTTAAAAGTTCAATGCAATCCCAATACAAATACTACTCTAATTCTTCAATGAGATGGGAAAGACAATCTCCAGTTTTATTTGGAAAAGAAAGAAGCCCAGAATAAGCAAAGCACTCCTTAAAAAGAGAAACAAGGTAGGAGGCATCTCACTCCCTCATTTCAAATCCTACTACACTGCCGTAGTGGTCAAGACACTGGTACAACGACAGACACACAGATCAATGGAATAGAATTAAGAATCCAGAGATCAGCCCATCTATCTATGGTCAACTGATTTTTGACAAGGAGATGAAATCAGTTAAGTAGGGAAAAGATAGCCTTTTTTGACGAATGGTGTTGGAAAAACTGGAAAACTATCTGCAGAAAACTCAAGCAAGACCCACACCTCACTCCATACACAAAAATTCAAAGTGGATCATGGACCTAGGACTAAAACCAAGGACTATAAATGTCATTAAAGAAAAGCTTGGAAGAACTTTAGAAGTCTTAATCCACAACATAAACAGTCTTCTAAGCATCCTGAAAAATCTACAACCAGGAGAGGATAAAATAGATGAATGGGACTTTCTAAGAATCAAATTCCTATGCACATCCAAAAACTTCTCCAACAGGGTAAAAAGGGAAGCCACAGACTGGGAAAAAATATTTGGTAATGACATGTCAGATAAGGGACTTATATCTAGAATTTATAAAATACTCAAGCACCACACAAGATAAACAACTCAATTACAAAATGGATATGAACAGACACTTTACCAAAGATGACATTCAGATGGCAAACAAACATGAAGAAACATTCAAAATCCCCAGCTCTAAGAGAGATGCAAATCAAAACAACTATAAGATACCATCTCATACCAGTAAGAATAGCAAATTTTAACCGAACAGAAAACAACAAATGCTAGTGAGGTTGTGGAGAAACTGGAACCCTTAATCACTGTTGGTGGGAGTATAAAACAGTACAACCACTATTGAAGACAATATGGCGCTCTCTCAAAAAGTTGCAAATAGTTATACCATTTTCCCCAGCAATTCCACTACTGGGAATATACCCCAAAGAAACCATAACTGCCACCCAAGTAGATATATGCACACCCATGCTTACCGTGGGTTTGTTTACAATAGCAAAGACTTGGAAACAACCAAAGTGCCCATTAACAAATGAATGGATACAGAAGCTGAGGTATATTCACACAACGGAATACTATGCTACATTGAAAAAACAAGCTCATGAAATACTATACAAAATGGGTGACCCTGGAGGACATTATGTTGAGTGAAATATCTCAGTCACAAAAGAACAAATACTGCATGGTGCCACAGTTGTAAAACGGGACTGACATCGGGGTTGAGGGGAGAGTGAGGAAGATGGGATAAATTATGTATACTGCACTGAAACAGGTAAGAGAAAGAACTGTTTAAAAAGGATTTATGATAGGGTGGAAGAAAAGCGCAGGAGGGAAAGGCCCTCTATGAGGTGGATTGATTCAGTGAATGGGGTAATCGGGATGGAGTGTCAGAGACAGTGAGACTGGCGCAGGACAGAGCAGAATTTAGAGCTGTTGTGCATGGGGTTGCTATGAGTTGCAAGCAACTCAATGGCACATAACAACAACAACAATTGTCATGACAGGAGTCTAGAATGAAGGCTGCATAGTGGAGTGGACTTGGTGGGAAGGAATGTATAACAATGAAAGAATTTTTCTTTTACTTTTCAAAGTGAAGAGCGAACTGGGGGTGGGGGAAGTTGGGCAGGGAGAAAAGTGCAACAATGAATGAATGGAAATCTAAAGTCTCTGTAAACTTTCATTAAAATTAATAACAAAAGAACAAACATCACTATACTTGAATAATAACTATCGCTGAATTTGGTATTTAAATTAAATCCACAAGCCTCATAATTCATCAAATATCTAGCTATGACTCCCCAGTATGTCTTCAAGGCTCTGTTTCTATAATGGTGTCTTCTACCCCACTCTTTTACTACTTCAGCTATCAACTTATCCGGGAATTTTTGAGTCTAGAGTATGTGGTTTGCTAAACTCGTTTTCTTAGAGCCCACAAAACAAGTGGCCAGTAAAAAGCCTTCTTTTCAAAACATTCATTCATGAGTCAGCAAAACTTACTTCTCTTCCTCAAAAATTGTAGGAAATAAGCATCTGGCAATAATTGCAAACAGCTGAAATTCATTCCAGGTGTATGCATCCTCCCCAAAGAATAAAACCTGCCTGCTAGTTTTACAGAGGAGAGAGGGATCTCAGTCAAAAGCGTGGGGGCATCTGCTTCCATGGAGGATGCTATAAGCTGTCCAGAGTTTAATGCTCTGGGAAACTCTTATGCATGGAACTTTCACAACTCCAAGCAAGGACTGTAGATTGCAGTGACCACATTAGTTGTTGGGGGCTGCTGACTCGATTTTCACTCCTACAGATCACACGTGACAGAGTAAAACTGCTCCATAAGCCTCTCTTTGGAAGCCCATCACCAGATCTTTCTCTTACTGTGTAGCCAGGTGAGTTCCTTCTGCCAACCCTTAGGTGAACACTTAACCATGGCATCTCCAGAGCTCCTTTATGTACACAGAGCAGGTGACAAAGCAAAATCAACTCAGTGACTGGCAGATAGAAAAGCAAAGCGCAAAAAAAAAAAAAAAAAGCAAAGCACTTCACCTGCCAGGGAGGGTTCTACCTGAGTTATAGACTTAATGGTCTTTTCCATAGTATAGTCCTCAGAAAAAAGATTTTAATTAAAAAGAATTGTTGTTCACTAATGCCTATTGTCTTCTAAAGGTCAGAATATCCTATGAAGTCAATTTTTCTATGAACTGAGTTTAAAAAGAAAATTATCTGTTGAGTCAATCCCAACTCATAGCAATTCTTTTGGACAGAGGAGAACTGCTCCACAGGGTTTCTGGAATCTTTCCAGAAGCAGAAATGAGTGGATGCTGTATTCAAGTTGCTGCCCTTTTAGTCAGTGCTTATGACATCAGGGCTGCGTTCTGTAGTCCTTAATTCTTTATCCAAACCTTTGGCCTCTGTCATTAAGTCTTACATGAGTTTAGGTCTGTTTTATCAGAAGCTAGAGAAAAGGGAATCAGAAAAAAAACACACAGAGCAGTGGTGTAAAGGGAATCGAGAAGGAATGGAGTTGTAAAAGCATGGGAAGAAACAATTCCTTTTATTTCTTCATTATTTTTTCATTTCTATTTCACTGTTTTTATTTTATTCTTACTCTTTTATTCTAATAATAGTATGTAACTGCAGAAAGACCTTTGATAATTTCAAGGAAAGGGAAAAATCTAATATAAAGCCCAACACAATACTCAACAATAGCTACCATCAATATTTTGCATATAATGCATAATTTCAAAAGCAAATCTGGAATTAAAGTGTATATACTGTGTTGTAAGCCTGATTTTTCTACTTACTGCAACAAGCACAGCATGCTTCTAAATATTTTATGAAAACATATTTATGGTTGCATGGTATTTTGTTAAACAGTTTTAACTGGCTGTCTAGAATAGAGATTTTCCCTAGTACACGAGATAGTCATTACAGCACTGTGTTAAAATCCTCTGAACACATTCTTAAGATAAATTTAAAAACAGATTTACTGGGTATAAGGAATAAACATATGGAACACATTGCTAAATTATCCTGAAATGTGAAAGGAACCATAGTCAATCATCTGCCTAAAACATAGTTCAACGATCAAGAGAGATCAAGTTCTGAAAACTTACCTTTGGGTTTATTATTTATGATTCATTCTCACCACTGGGCCCATTGGCAGCATCATGATAGATGGTGAAGAGACCGAGAATGTTAACAGCTTTAATTTGCTTGGCTCTACAATCAAGACTCTTGGCACCAGCAGCCAGGAAATTAAAGATGAACTGCATTGGGAAAGTCTGCTGTTAGAGGAATCTCCAAAGTACTGAAGAGCAATGATGTCAGTCTGGAGACTAAGTTGTGCCTTATACAGGCCATGGTCTAAGCATCAGAGAGCTGGACAATAACTAGAGATGACAGAAGGGAGAACTGATGCCTTTGAGCTGTGGTGTTGGAGAAGAATATTGAATATACCATGGACTGCTAAGAGAATGAACAGGTTTGTCCTGGAGAGGGTGAAGCCAGGCTGCTCCTTGGAGGTAAGGATTCTGAAGCTTCGTCTGACATACTCTGAACATGTTGCAAGGAGGGACCAGTCCTTGAAGAAGGATCTCATGCTTGGGAGGGTGGAGGGATAGCACAGTAGAGAAAGATCTTCCATGAGGTGAACTTAGTCAGTGACTGGAGTAATGGGGTTAAGGTGTTTCAGAGATAGTGAGGATGGCACAGGAGAGAGCAGGGTTTAGGGCTGTTGTACATAGGGTCGCTATGAGTCACACAAGTGACTCAATGGCACATAACAACAACAACAACAACAGAAACCTTCAAGAAAATCTTAAAAGGAATGTTATTCTATTGTGGGCTGAACAAGAGAATCTATTTGGAGGCGAACAAGTCAATGAGTCCACTAGTTCTAATTCTAACTGTATTACTAGTCCCAGAAACTACAACTTAACTACAACTTATAAGCACTGAACTCTGGCTTTATCTTGTTCTTACCTAAATTCAGGTCTCAGATTTGTGAGCTTCTAAAGTCTCTGTAGATAAGCACATATTTATAGTGAATTATTTTAGTACAGCCTACCAAACTGCACTATGAGAACACTAAATTTATTTTGATATTAAGGTAATTAACTTTTGTTCTTCAAAATTTTAACAATAAATTATTATGCCATCACTAAAAAGTAATAATTGCATTAATAAAATGTATTCATTTCCTACACATTTGCTTTAAAGTAGAAAAATTATTAAATTTTAATGATGGTAAAGACATTTTTGAAGACTGGCTAAAACTGACTAGAAGATACATGAGTAAATTCAGAGTTGCCTACCTTTGACGCTAACATTTCCATCTGTACTGGTTTCACAGAAGCAGTAGGTTTTAGCTGTTTCTTGGCATTTGTTGCTTTGATGGCTTGAACAGGTACTTTGTCATTTTGAGGTTTCTACAAGGAAAAAGGAACATGAACAGGGCAAGGTGGCAAGCTTTACCCACAGTGATGTTTAGCAACAGCCTCTGCATGGACACCTAGAGTCCTTATGTCTATTACCTTAGCTACTTGTGTGGCTCTGGTTGTAACTTTATTTCCAATTTCTTCTAAGACTCCCCGCCTAGTCACATGACTTTTTGTTTTAGAATTCATTTCTTTGCCAACATTTTCCAAATTATTGGACACCTAAAAGGAAAAAGAAGAGTTCAAACAACTTAAGATCACATATTACTTACTAACATCAGATACGCAATTGCAGAATTGTTCTGGGAAAGGTCGATATTTCAAAGAAAGAAAAGGTACTTAATAGAGGAAGATAATCAAATGGGTAACAGACACATGAAGAAATGCTCCAAATCACTGGGAATAAGAGATGTAAATCAAAACCACAATGAGGTACCATCTCACCCCAGTAGCAGTGGCAAAGTTTTACAGGATAGCAAGTAATAAATGTTGGAGAGGATATGGCAAGATAGAATTCCTATACATTGCTGACAGGACTCTACAATGGTACACACACTCTGGAAGGCAGTTTGGTGCTTCCTCAAAAAGCTAAACATAGAAATTCCATATAACTCAGCTATTCCACTGCTTGGAATACACCCTGAGAAAATGAGAACTGAGGCACAGAGGCTCGTACACCAACGTTCACAGTAGTGTTATTCACCATCACAACATGGAAACAACCCAGATGTCCAACCACAAAAGAATGAATTGAGAAGTTTGGTACATATATACATTGGAATACTATGGGAGGGACTAGAGAACATTGTGCTGGGTGAACTAACACAGCCCCACAGGAATAAACACTGTATAAAACCATTACTGTAGAATGAGTATGAGGATCCAAGGGAGTATGGGGGTGAAAGCTGAGGGGTGAGGATTGGGAAGGGTGTTAATCATAGGGTTGCACAATTCGACAGGTGGGTGAGGTGAAGTAAATGGGAAGGATCTTTTGTGAAAAATAATGTATTCAAACTCTGTAAATAAATCAGAATAAATTTTTTTAAAATTAATAATTCTATTTGAAAAAAGGTACTTAAAAAGGAATTTTAAGCCTAAAAATGCTATTTGTGACTTATGATTATACGTAAATCTCCCACTAATCTTCCTGTGTCTATGATGTGCCATTCTCCCAAAGAGTGGCAGGTGGATTTGAACTGTGTACCTCTGGGATTACAGTGCTGCTTCTTACCACTAGGCTACCAGAGCTCCCGCTAATCCTAGAAAAGTTCTTTTGTGTTTTAGTGAGGGCCCTTCTGTTAGATGCCATCAAGCTGGTTCCAACTCACAGCTGACACTATTATAACAGAAATATACACTTCCTGGTCCTACATCATTCTCACTATCACGTCTGTGATGTCATGAGAAACTTTAACAAAACTGGCAGATAAATGAGTTGTCTTCACGTAATTCCAAATCACTTCATAGAGATCCCTTTAAATATAAGTCATTTGTCTGAAACTTCCTTTACAGAACTTGTTACAATTGTTGTTAGGTGTCGCTGATCAGCTCCAACTCATGTACAACAGAACAAAACACTGGCAGCTCTAGGCCATCTTGACACTTTTTGGTATGCTACCTTCCACTGAAGTAGCCCCTGTGTCAATTAATCTGGTTGAGAATTTTCTTCTTTTTCACAGATTTTACCAAGCATGGTGGTCTGGCTCCTTCTGATAACAGGTCCGCAATATGTGAGACAAAACTTCTCCATTGTTGCTCCTAAGAATAGTTCTTGAAGTACTTTTCCCAAGCAGATTTGTTTATTCTTCTGATATATTCAATATACTTTGGCAACTCCATAATTCAAATGCATTGATTTTTCTTCATCTTCCTTTATTTATTGCCCAGCTTTCTTATGCTGATGAAACAAATGAAAATGTCATGGCCTGGGTCAGCACATTTTAGTCCTCAGAGAGAAATTTTTGCTCTTTGGCAACAGACTTGCTCAATGAAATATGCCATTTGATTTAACTGCTGATTCCATGGATATTGACTATGGATCCAAGTGAAGACAATTCCTTGACAACTTCAATTTTTCTCCATTTATCATGTTGTTACCTTTTGGTCCAGGTGTGAATATTTTTCTGCATGTGAGATGTAATCCATACTGAAGGTTACACCATTTGAGCATCAGTAAGTGCTTTAAATCCTCTATATTTTCAGCAAGTAAGCTTATGCCACAGGCGACTCAATGGCACAGACTGTTAATGAACTTCCTCCAATCCTAATGCTGTATTCTTCATATCATCCAGCACCTTGGGTTATTTGCTCAGCATAAAGATGTAATAGTACTATGAAAAGATACAATCTTGATGTATACATATTTGAATAACTGCCTCTTAGTCTATGTGTTAGATAAGCACAATCAAGAGCTCTATTAATTCCATTCTTCTCGATGTATAGTTTATTATGATCCATCAAGTCAAATGCCTTTACATTGTTAATAAAATACAGGTAAACATTTTTCAGATATTCTTTTAGCCAAGATCTATCTGACATCAGCAGTGAAATTTCTCATTCTATGTCTTTCTGGCAGTTCTTTGTCAATGTTCTGCTCCAACTATTTATAAATTATCTTCAGATAATTATCTTAAAATTTTTCTTGCAGTGATATTCATGATGTTGCTCACTAATTTCCACATTCTGTTGGATCACTTGTCTTTAGAATAGGCACAAATATGGATCACCTCCCATTGGCTGGCCATGTCTTCCAAATTTCTAGGCATAGATGAGTGAACATTTCTGGTGATATATTGTAAGAATACTTAGAAACAATTTTCTTGGGTAAAGCAATTTTAGTTCTCAAATTTAAGGATGGTTGGAATTACAGGAAAGGAAATTCATCAGCTGCCCATAACTTGCTTTAGATATGTTTAATAATAAAATTTGCTAGGCAAAATAGTCAATGCAAAAAGTTTCATATATAATTATTTAGTATTTTATGAGAAAGTGTAGCTTATTCTATCCCTAAGGACTGTGAGGTTCTAATCTTAAAAAAGGCATCAACAACAGGGTCTTGAGTAGACTTACCAGAACAGACAGAGTGGCAGTGGAAAGTTTCTTGAGTAGAAATAATTTAAGAATTAAAGAACTTTATGTTGTTGTTGTTTTGTGCCGTCGAGTCGCCTGCGACTCATAGCGACCCTATGTACAACAGCCCTAAACTCCTCTCTGTCCTGTGCCAATGGCACTGTCTCTGACACTCCCATACCAATTATCCCAGTCACTGAATCAATCCACCTCATAGAGGGCCTTCCTCTCCTGTGCTGTCCCTCCACCCTCCCAAGCATGATGTCCCTCTCTAAGGACCGGTCTCTCCTCACAACATGTCCAAAGTATGTTAGATGGAGCCTCAGAATCCTTGCCTCCAAGGAGCCACCCGGTTTAACCCTCTCCAGGACAAATCTGTTTGTTTTCCTAGCAGTCCATGGTATTCTCAGTACTCTTCTCCAGCACCACAGCTCAAAGGCATCAGTTCTCCTTCTACCCTCCTTGGTCATTGTCCAACTCTCTGATGCATAACAGGTGATTGCGAAGACCATGGCCTGTATCAGACGCACCTTAGTCTCCAGAGAGACACCACTGCTCTTCAGTACTTTGGAGAGGTCCCTAACAGCAGACTTTCCCATGGCAATGTGCCTTTTAATTTCCTGGTTGCTGGTGCCAAGACTGTTGACTATGGAGCCAAGCAAACTAAAGCTGTGTACAATCTCAATCTCTTCACCATCCATCCTGATGCTACCAATTGGTCCAGTGGTGAGAATCTTTGTCTTCTTGACATTGAGCCTCAATCCATATTGTAGGCTGCAGTCCTTGACACTCTGCAGCAGGCGCTTCAGGTCCTCCTCAGTTTCAGCAAGCAGGGTTGTGTCATCCGCATAACGCAGATTGTTGATAATTCGTCCACCAATCTTGACCCCACATTTCTCCTCATATAGATTTTTTTTAAAAGGTCAGTTTGATTTAGATATACTGGTAAACTGAACACTGAATGTATGAAAGTAATTGTTAAGTGCCATCCATTTGACTGTGACTCATAACAACCACATGTACAACAAAACTAAACACTGGACAGTCCTTTGCCATCTTTATAATCTCTGCCGTGCTTAAGACTTCACCAAGCATTAAGTTGCTTCACTATGTCAACCCTTCTTGTTGAAAGTCTTTCTCTCCTTTTCTAAGGACTGGCCCTTCCTGACAACATGCCTAACATCAAATTTCATCATCCTTTCCTTTAAGGAGCATTCTATTTGCATTTCTTCCAAAATAGATTTGTTTGTTCTTCTGGTATTTCTATTCAAGCTATCGAGGGAGCTCTGGTGGCTTATAATAGTTGTTGCTGTTGGGTACCACTGCGTCTGAAGTGACCCACAACTGATACTCCAGTGAGTTTTCCATGGCAGTTAATCTCACCAGTAAAGACTGCCCATCCAGCACTGCCAACCCAAAGTTAAGTGGTTTGAATTAACCACCTGCTCTGCAGGAGAAAGATGGGCCATCTCCTCCCATGAGATTTATTGCCTCTGAAAACTTGCTGGAGTTTTTCAGAAGCTGGAGCTATGAGTCGTTTCCTACTTATCAGTACAAAACAACAATTCAACCTATCAGAATTTTTAAGACCACATTCTACAGTATTTCCAACAGCAATTGCTAAATTAAAAAAAACATCTATTGAAAGCTTAATGTTTATGGTCAAATTGATCTGAAAGGAAAATGGGCAGCTTTTAACTGGCCATTTAGCTGTTGTTAAATGCTTTAAAGTTGGGTTGATTCAAGACTGACTCTCATGGGATTTCCAGAAGTAGTAAATCATATGAAAAGGGACAAGTGCCCATCTTTCTCCCTCAGAGCAGCTGGTAGATTCAAACTGTGTGTCCTTGGGTCTCAGGTTAGCTATTTAGCTAGAATGATGGAACTCAGGTGGGTTAGGCCCTCTAGGTTTCAGCCAATGAAAAATTGGTTCAGATACCATTCAAACCCAAATATTTTATTTATATATATATTCCTATATTCATATATTTGTATATTTATTTCTATATATCTGTATTCCGAAATACCCTAACATTTTTATTTCTGCAAAAATGAAATGTTATTTTCTGTCAGACTGCTATACTGATCCAAATTATATGTAAAATCTCCACTACGTTTTAGCTAAAGAATTAATTTTCTCAAAAGGACAAGTCCAGACACTGGTGATTTTTGCCACGACGACTCAGTGTTTAGAAATAAAAGGAAACGCCAGATTAAACCTTCAGAACAATTTACTCTCGCTGGAGTCCTTTGCCCCATTCCTGAGCTCTGAGAAAAGGAGGAGGAAATTTTTCCCAATTTTGCATTGTGACAGGCTCAACCACAAAGAACACCTGAGGGTTGCTCACTAAATGCATAAGGGGGCTCGGAGGACAGTACTCACCAAGCAAGCCTCGACTCGCTTTGCCGTATCTCTTGCACCCTCTGGGACGGAACCAGAAGGAAAAAGGGAACTGGAGACCGAACCGAGATGGGGAGGGGCTGGGCTGAGCAGTCGGCCTCGGGAAGCCCCGGAGAAGGGAAAAGCAGCGAGAGGGAGTTGGAGGTGGCGTGGCAGAAGCCCCTGACCAGTGTGAGGGGGGTTGCCGGGCCCACTTACCGTCGGCCGTCGGAGCAGCGCCATTAGTGAGGAAAAAGGTAAAAGTGACAGCCTGACCCGGGAGAGGTCGCAGACTGAAGTGGGTGGTCACAAACTTCCGTGACGCCGTTGGGCCTAATTTCTAGATCAGCACCGCCGGGAATAAGCGTCTTCTCCAGGATTCAAATGCTGCGCAGCTCGCGGCCCCATTGGGCGACCGTACGTATAATGCCTTCTTCTCATTGGCTAAATGAGGAACATTAGCGCACGCTCATTGGTTGATTTAGACTCGTTTGGTTGTCATAACAACTTGTGGTTTTCTGCCTACTGTCTTTAAAAAAAAAAAAAAATCCCGACCTCAGAAAACGAAACGGCCAGTAGAGAAGGCAAACTCAGGACGCCTTTCTCGAATTCTGACAACCTTCATCTATGTACATGTATGCTGACTGGGGAAGTAATGGTTGGCAGAAGTTAGTTGGGAGGAACCAGTGGTGCTTGGAGGACATCCTGCTTGAAGGGTGGAGGGTCAGCACAGGAGAGAAAGACCCCGGATGAGATGGATTGACACAATGACTGTGGCAGTGGGGGACAGGTATGTCAGAAACAGAGATTGGTTCAAGATAGGGCAGGATTCAGAATTATTGTTCATAGGGTTGTTATGAGAACTAGTCAGACCTAGTCGACTCAACAAGCACATATTATGTTCAGGGAACAATCGTATATGGATCAATAAATATTCTTCAAACATTATCAGGACATGACGATGATTTAAAATGAGAATGTGTAGCTTGAGCCTTGAGCAGCAACGTGAATAAATAGTATTAGGGTTGCCTTGGAAGAGAAGAGGGTAGAAGTGGTGATTAAGACCTCAACAGAAAAAGGAAAGGTCCAAAGTCCACAGCTGAAGTAAGCTTCATTTGGGAATGAATAAGCTTTCTTTCCATTATTATTCTTAGTCTTTAAAAATTACAATTTACCTATCCCTTAATCAGACACACACACACACACACACACACACACACACACACACATACACACATTACAGCTTCTGCTTCTATATGGCATGGGAAGATGTTTAGTGTGTTAA